TCTGGGGAAACTTTTCAGCAGTCATTTTGAGAGCAACTCCAGGTTGCTTTAGGTGGCCCTCGAGTACTGAGCTGTGGTCTTTCTCAGAGGTCTGCAAGAGAAAGTCGATTAACATCTTCGATAATTTAATTCAATAGTGAAAAATTTATTTCAGTGTTAATAGTTGAACAAGGGATAGCTACTGTCACCAGAAAATTCTAAGGCTATGACAGAGAAAGAATTTTAGGACGACTTTAAAACGATACAAAAATTTTAAAAAGAAAAAGAAAAATTAGCAACGAGGCTATAGGAGGAAATGAAATTGTCATGAACTAGTATGAGATGGGGAGGATGGAATAAAGCAGAGGCTAAACTATGACAAACAGAAGAGATGAGCTTTCAAACTCAAAGCCCTTAGAATGTCCAGAATGTCCTGTTTCTGCCTCAGAGTTGCATTAGACAACCCCGTGTATGTTCTAATATAAGACAAGGGAGAGAAAGGCATGGGTTGTAGTTCAATGGTAGAGAACTTGCCTACCAAGCACAAGGTCCTGGATTCAAATCAATTGCCAGTACTACCAAAAAAAAGAAGGGACAATTAGAGAGAGTAATTAGAACAATTAGAGAAAGTAGAGAAGTGGGCTTCTCTGACTCTGAATCACTGAATGTTATCAAAACATCGCAGAAAAACCCCTTTACCGCTTTTTTTCTTTAAATAAAATTTTTTTAGGGGCTGAGGATTTAGCTCAGCGGCATAAGTGCTTGCCTTGCAAGCAGGCGGTCGTGAGTTCGATCCCTGGTACCAATAAAAACCGAAAAAGACAAAAATAATAATAATAATAATAAAAATAAAACCATCTCAGAAAAATGTTCTATAAATACACATAGTAGAGCAAGCACTTGATTAAGGTGTGACTCTGGTCACATCTTAAAGAATTAATTTGCCTATCAGTATTGTACAAGGGCCACGCTAATCTCTGTATTGTTCCTGCTTTAGTATATATGCTGCCAAAGCAAGCACAGGTCACATCTTAACTATTCTGGTAGTTCTATCTATCCCAGCTCTTCCGTGTCACAGGCATAAAGCCAGAAGGAAATTCAAGAGATTAGCTGTGGCCATGCCTGTAGTCAACCCAACACTTTAAGGACAAAGAATTTTAATTTCCACACACTTGACCCTCTTCTAATTTTCACTTACATGATGCAGCTTCAGAAAAGTCCCCTGCCATCTCTCAACCAGTGTCAATATCAAAAGGGCAACAATCTCTCCTTATTCTCAAGAAATGATGAGAAGAATTCACTAATATTAATTGTTAAATTATTTTAAGAAAGGACTGGGTATGTAGCTCCACGGTAAGGAATTCTTCCTTGGCATGTTGGAGGCTCTAAGTTCAAATCCCAGCACAGTCTGAAAAAAGTGTGTGCGTGTGTATGTGTTAAGGGGGGAAAAGCTAAGGGTTAGTAGATGACAACAGCTGAATTCACCACCTGTACACCCTGTAAGAATATCACCTGCTGACCTGGATCTCTTTTGTGCCTCCAGTAACCACCTTTAGCTATTACTTTCTCAGACTCTTTAAGTGACATGTCTGCTGCTGTGAAAACATAAATCAAACTTAGTGAGACTATTACAACTCTTAAAACTTGGATTCTGGGGGGAAATACTTTCTGATTAAATTCTTTTGTACTCTGGGCCAAACTCCAGGTTCTCCACATGCTTAAATATGATCTATTGGGCTGGGGATATAGCTCAATGGTAGTGATCCTCTAGCATGCTCAAGACCTGGGTTGGAGCCCTAGCAACACACACACACACACACACACACACACACACACACCCCACTTTTAATTGCTTATGGTTACAGTTTTTAAGGCACAGTAATTTGCTAAAGATTTAAAGTTAAAAGTAATAATCATTTATAGCACAGTTGGATAGGGAACGTTGCTTGAGGACTGGATCCAGGCCTTGGGCATGCTGCTCTACTTACTGAACCACAACACAGACTAATGTTGTGGGTTGGGTTTTTTTTTGTATCAGGGATGGAACTCATGACCTTACGCTTGCCAGGCAGGCACTTATGCCACTGAACTAAATCCCCAGCCAATGCTGTGGTTATTAATGGCTCAATGATTGACTCTTTGTGGGGGGGGGGATTTTATTTGCAATATGGGGTTAGGGTGAGATTCTGTGATTAACTACAATGAAAGCAGGTTGAGAAGTGCTGAAATCTGTCCTTAACAGGACTGAAGTGCCTGAGAACACTCCTGCTATTCATGAATAAAACATGGCGTAGAAGCCAGAGAAGTGCAATTTAAGTTTCACCTTAACTGCACTACATTTTCAAACTTTGCACAACGTGGTGAAACTTACAAGACACTTGGTTTAAAAATAAGATCGGAGGTTTCTTTATAAGTCTTAGAGATGAGAGAAATGAAAATGGTATTATCCACCTTCAGACAACATTCTTTTGCACAGCTCCTGACAAGTTGCCTTGCAATTTAACTGGTGATGCCAACTGGTCCTGCATCCCATTCCCAAAATCCCCACCTCCTACCCAGGATGGATTTTTGAACCTCCTAGGAAAAGTCCCAGGTCTCAGCCAAGAACAGGCACTAAACCAAATCTGCTTAGAAGAGGAAGGAGGAGAAGCAGTCCATAGAGAAATGTTTTGCTCATGGCTCAAAGTACACTACATCTATCTTTTTTCAGAATAAGTAAGTCCTTGTTTTTCACATTTCATTTCCTAAGTTCAAAAGAAGGCAAAGGTAAATTTTACTAAAAATAAGACAGGTTTATAATGCCATGTGTCAAACCACCTTCTGCAGGATACTGGAAGGGAAGTCACAACTTCCAGCCTCCCCTTTCTTAATCCCAGCTCCCTTTATCAGCCAGAATAACAGGGACAATCCCTGCTGGAACTGACCAAGGAGCCTGTCCACTGCTGTAGAAAACAAATATTCTCAGATTCTGCATCAAGCCCTAACTCTCCACATCAAAGCTAGGGGAACCTGGAAAGAACAGTGGCCCAAAGATATTAGAGGACATCTTACAAACAGTCCGTCTAACCATAGCAGACTTAGGTGGAAGGAGATTAGGCTTCAGTAATGTTTGCCAGGGCAAATACTGATGTGTTGCTCCTCTGACTACATAAATATACTCAATCCTTTTATAGCAAGATTCCAGGCTGATCTCAAGAACTCACGTGGGAGAATTTTATTACTGAAGCCATCAAAACATCAGTTACAGGCAGGTCTGCCTTTAGGTTAGCAGCAGAAGGGAGCCTCCAAGTCTGAGCTCTGGGGAAGCCTTTGTTCAGGGAATCCGACCCCTCAGACAGGGCTGAAATTTCACTTCAAGTCCCCAAATCAAATTTTAAAAGTGCCCCCTTGGAGAGCTGCAGAATAAACAAACATCTAGTACATTTCCTGGAATCTCTTTGCCCCCTCCCCCAACAATATCAAATTACTCTCCCCCCACGCACAGTTGCGCTCTCTCGCTCTCTCGCGCTCTCTCTCTCTCTCTCTCTCTCTCTCTCTCTCTCTCTCTCTCTCTCTCTCTCTCTCTCGGCAAACCACCCTATTGTGCATCTACCATTTCAAATGCCTTGCAAATACATTTCCATTCTGCCTCTCTCCCTCTCAGAAGTCGTCTAAGAATTTGGGAGGAGCTAACAAATGCAATTTGAATAATAAGCAACCGAATAATTCAATTAGGAAAGGTAGCCCTAGAGAGTCCAACAAAAGGATTAAAAGCCTTTATCTACAAAAATGTGGCCGAGTGCTTAACAGTGGGACCAATTAGGGGGAGTGCAGAAGACAAATGCTCAGGTGCACACAGCAGTTTAAACTAATGAGAATCAGCACAAATAATCCCAGAAGAGAAGACGCTAGGAAAAAAAAAAAAAGTGACTTGAAAAGCTGCTTTCTCATCTGCCATGCTCACGCTTAGTTAACTTTATTCTCTTTTAGATTCACTAGAAGTAGTGCTTACAGTGTCCTCGGGTAAAGACTTTGTACAGAGAACTTAAAACAAGCTAAATGAAATCTCAATAGAAGTTCTTAAAAATCAAATTACAAAGGTACTTTCATCCTTCACATAAGTTCTTCGATGTGAAACATTAGTCACTTCTCTAGGATGCATACAGTTCCTCTGAGAATGTCCCGTGTAACACACGCATTCTGCTGACCTTTTCAAGTGACCTTACAGATCTTTTGCTTGCTTTTGAGGAAAATCAGGATTACTCTTTCTGGAATCTAAAAAAAGCTCTCAGCTCCCGTAGGTCTTAAGAATAAAATGTAGGAAGCCCCACAGGCTAAACGATTACTAAAACCGGCTTCTTGAACAGGAAAACAGTTTGCTTCAGAGGCAAAGAATTCCCCCGCCCCGCGCTCACTCCCGGCCAGGCACTGCCGTGCCCAGCTGGTTGGTAACACTGAGCACAGATAAGGAGTCCTAACAACCGCGTTCGCCGGGTTCCCGGGAAACCCTCGGTCACTCGGCGACTCCCTTATCTCCTGGGCGCGCCGTCCACCCACCCGCACGCGGGTCCCCGCACGCGGCGCCCCAGGATGACTCCCGCGGCCACGCGGGGCGAGACTGACACCCGCAGCTGCCTGCGCCCCTGCCAGTCACGCGCCGCCCGCTGCCTTTTTTAGCCACGACATTTGACCCCCGTTGAAACAGCAACGTTCAGAGACGTCCTGGGGCGAGCCAGAGGTCACCCCCTCTCCTCACCCCGCGGACCCCGCGCAGACCTCGCGGCGAAGGCGGGGGCAGAAAAGCGCGCGTTTCTCCCGCCCGGACTCCTCCACCTCCTCCTTCCCCGCCGACCCTGGTCCCCTCCCCGGGCCTGCAGCCCCGGGCTCCCCATTTCGCAGCTCGAGCGCGCCTCTCGGGTGTCCCCCTGCAGCCCCGCAGTCAGCTCCCCCGACCCTCTCCAAGCCGGCCGGCCGCCCGCGCGCGGCCCGGCGGGGCGGGAAGACCGGAGGGGCGGAAGGGCGCGGGCGGGGGCGGCGCTCACCTCCCTCCTCCGCCCCGCTGTCCAGATCGGCGTCGGAGGAGTCGGGGCCGTCCCCGTAGTCCGCTAGCCCCACCAGCTCGTCCTCCTCCTCCTCGTCGTCGTCGTCCTCGTTCTGCGGCTGCGGCTTCCCCAGCACCTGGCTCATCGCGACCCCCGGCCGGCGGGCCGGCGCCGGGGCCGGGGCGGCTGGGGTCCCGGGTGCGGGCCGAGCCACTCCTCGCCAGCCGCCCGCAACCTACTTGTGAATCGGGGTTTTGTCTGGAGCCTCGCGGTAGGCGGCGGCGGCGGGGGGCGCGCGTCCCCCCGCGGCGGGCGGCCCCCAGCGCCCCGGGAGCCCCCTCCGCTCCCCTCCCCGCCCGCCGGCGGAGGACTCGGCCGGAGCGCAGTTCCTCCCCGAGGAGGGAGAGGGAGAGACTGCGTGACCCGAGTCACCTGACACACACTGTCACACACTCACACACACTCCGCACGGGTGCGCGCGCGCTCGCTCGCCCGCCCGCCCGGCCGCAGGCACCGCTCGCCGGGCGCCGGGCCACACACCCCCAGGCACGCGGGGTGGCGCGGCACTGCCGCCCACCCGAACATGCTCACATCCATACTGGCGCCGAGCCGGGCCCCCCGAGACGCGGCGCTGTCACCCGCCGCGAGTGCGCGCTGGGGGCCCCCACGCGCGGCTACTGCACGTGGTCTCGACACAGGCGGCAGAGCTGGGGGAGGGGAGGAGGGAGTGCGCGCCTTGGGAAGCCACCCAGCCCGCCGCACGCTCAGCCGCTGCGCCCCTACCTTGGGAGACAGCTTCCTGCTTTCAATTCTGGAATAGGTGGGGTTCCACTCCCAAGTGGGCTGCCCCCCAACAGTGCAGGCCCAAGGCCTCAACACAGAACAACATGCTGGGGACACCCTGTGGATGCTCAAGTACCCCAGGAAACGAACTCAAGCAAAAGCACAGCGGCGGTGCAGTCTCCATAGCAATTGCCTTTTAATGTGCCTTTTATGGCTCAGAGTACTTCCCACCAAGAATATTTTTAAATAGGTGATGTAAATATTTGTGAAGAAATCACATGTCTCTGTGGCTGCCAAGACTAAATAATAATTCTGCGGCAGAGTTTGAGAAGGTGTATAACACGTTCAAGGACTGTTCATGGCCATCTCATGTCTGCTTGTTGTATAGACTGTGATTCCGCATAAATAAAATGTTTCATGGCTTTTGTAGGAGGCCTCTGGGGCTTGGGAGCAGTCCTCAAGTAGGAATAGCAGCAGTGCAGGGCTAAGACTAAAAGAGCTTTCCTCCTTCACAAGATTTTCACTACTGGATATACAGTACTGCACTTACCTAGTATTGCAAACATCACATGGATGAACTTCCTTCTGTTCATCACGGTAAGAAAAAAAAAAGGGCTGGTCAGCAAGGTGATCCAGATCCCACAAGTGCCAGCGGCTCAGCAGGTGGTGTGGCACAGAGAAGTGCAAGGGAGCTCAGACTGCAGCCTCTTGGGGCCTCAGGGGGAAGCTTGCTTTCTTAGGGACTGTTTATTGAACACCTACAGTATACCAGGGCCAGGTTTAAGTAGGGAGTCCAAGAATTCTCCGGCAGCAAGAAAAACACTCTCAAACTCTCACCTGTGTCCTGGGTCTTCTAGCAGGTCTGGATATTGAAGGTGGGTGCAGGACCAGGGATTTAGCTCAGCGGTGTAAGCACCTGTCTGGCAAGCGTAAGGTCATGAGTTTGATCTCCAGTACCAAAACAACAACAACCAAAAAATACCAATACCCCAACTGAAGGTGAGTGCAGTCATTCTCTAGGCGGGTGGCTTCTTCTGATGGGAAATGTCTAACTTTTCCAGGTGAAAGCAGAAGGAAACTATCAGTGCAGAGATTTTAACTGAAAAACCTGTAGGGAATCCTACGAGCATTAGTGGAAGTGGGAAGATATTACCAGCCCTAAAGCTTCAGGAGAAAAGGAAGAGGACTAGAGTCCTAGGAAAGGGCCCCAAAAAGTCCTTTTAACTGCTGAGGTCATAGAGACATCAGCAATGGGAAGGAGTACCCCAATGTTTCTCTCTTCCCACCCTCTCTCCACTCTTCAGTATCTGTTTCCCATGTTTCCCATTATGCAAAATCAGCTGGAAAGCAGAGGGCCAGAGAGCCTGGAATCTGCTCGGGGACAGACTGAATAGGCAAGGCAGACTCCAGCGGATCCTAGTGAGGGTGAGGTGCAAACAGCATCCCCAGTACAAGCAGGTACTGCTTACTACTCTTGTCCAAGGCAAGCTTTCTTTCTAACCCTGGGTGCTCATCAGTAAAACATTATCTCCATAGAAGTAGTAGGAAGATTAATTGAGAAAAAAAAAATCAGGTTCTTGCAAAGCTCATTTTGTAGGGGCAATTCTCTAGCCCACTTTTATCCTTTAAGAAGTTTTTCCCAAATGGGTGTGAAGATTTGCAGCTAGCCCAGAACTAGCCCATCAGCCTGGGGAGACCTTTGAGCTAGGCTGATTCAAGCTGCAAAGTTTCTTATTAATGAGACCTGAGAAGTCTGTCCAGGTTCACCCCACATTCAGACTGTCAGGGCATTCCCAGGCTGGCTGCTGAGTGTCTGTTGCATGGACCCAGTGATGAGAAGACAATTCATAACCTAACAGCAACATTTTCTGAGACAGAGAAAAAAGGAAAATGTCTCACGATCCTTTAACTTCTCACAACAAGAAAAATCTCAGAAACACCAGCAACACAATAGAACATACCCTAAGATAATTGAAAATTATCAAAAAGGAACCATTCCCACAAAAACCAGGTGAAAGGAAATTCCCTGTTACTCTCCAGTCCAAGCTAGAAAAGTGAATTATATACGGGTTTAAAACATTCAAAATCACTATCATTTCAAAAACACATAGTATTGGCAAGGTTTAACCAAGCAGAAGAAAACTTATAATATTCATCTTCTTTTGTTATTATTATAATATTGTCAGTTTGCAAATAAAGGATGTGTTGGGGGGGGACATAGAAGCAGTTCTTAAAAAAAAAAAATCAAGTTTGGATTCTTTCAAAATTAAAATTGAAAGGGTTTTGGCCCAGATGGGACACTGTAGCCAGAAAAGACCTCAGCCAGAATCAGGGAGCTCCTGTCTCCCCCGCCCCTAGAGATTTACCTGTGACTCTATCTCCTCCCACCCATCAGAATCTGCCCCTGGTGCCAAATGTGTGCCAATGAAATACCTGTGCATCTCTGATAGCCCTAGGGCACTACCCTAAGCTTAGGCTACTTATATCCCCCCACGCCACGTGTCCCAGGGAGAGATCCCCAGACTTCAGCGGCCCGGGGTGTCAGTCATCTCTCTCTGTGTTCTCAGAATAAAGGCCTCTTTTGTTTTATGCTTTAGATCTTTTGGAAATAATCCTATCAAAAATGAAATTGAAAAACACTACAGAACCCTGAACACGTTTAAGAACTCAGGGTGGAATCTGCCATGACTTAGCTGCTACCTTGGCCCCTCTTTGGCCTACAGCTCAGCCCCTCTGTGGATGCCTCTCTGGGAGAATGTTCTCGAGAATGTGAGGAGTTAGTCAGGCATAGTGGTGTATCCCTGTAATCAGTATTCCAGAGGCTGAGACAGGATTGCCACAAATTCGAGGCCAGCCCACACTACATAGTTATAAAAAGCCCTTCCTGGACCTCGTCTCGGGCCAGAAAGTTTATATTTATAATCCTATGGAAAAGTTATTGGAATTATTTATTTATTTATATTTTTTAAAATTCTTTTTTAATTTTATTTTTTTTTGTACCGGGGATCAAACTCATGACCATGTGCTTGCAAGGCAGGTGCTTCTGCCACTTAGCCAAATCCCCAGCAAGTTATTGGAGTTCTAACAAGTTAAATCCAATCTACCATTTCCAGTGCAAAAATAAAGACACTAAGACATATTTATAGTTGTGGGGAGCCAAAAGTTTCTAAATCTGGTCAGGGTGAAGATTTAGCCGGGGCCCAACCCACTTTTTATTAATTCATGAAAAGGGAGTGGCTTGAGGATGAGCCACTGTGAGAATGGAGAGAAATAAGTGAGTACTGTGAGATCGGCTAGCGAGAGGCTTGAAAGCATCTCTACAATATGCAGAGAGAAGGATATGCAGAAATACCAATCTGCACAACACAGTTGAGGTAGTAGCATTTAATGTTTTAGGGGCCAATGCTTCAGCTCTGATATGCAAACTTTGAAGTCATAGCCTCGTATTGAGACTAATCCCAGTTGACAGCCCTGGAGCCAAGGCTCTTTATCCCGCCTGGCTCAACCATGTTTTGGGGGTCACAGGCAGGCAGCAGGGACACAGTGATGGTCACCCAGCTTCAAAGATTATGCATACATGGAGATAGGGACAGGCTTAGCCAAAGTGGAGACAATTGCTCTTTGTTCGAGGAGAGTCCTCCAGGTGGTCCTCTATCCATACATAGTGAGTTCAAGGCCAGCCTGAACTATAAGGTCAGACCCTGTCTAAAAAAAAAAAAAGATTTGTAGCCATGGCAGGCAGGTGTCTTATATCTGATAGATGCTTAATAAATGCATACAGAAAGAAAAGGAAGGGAAGAAAAAAAGAAGGATAGGGAAAAAAGTAGATAATATATGACCTATTCTCCACACAGATCTGACATATTTTTGAAACTTTAGCAAGAATGAGAAGCCAAATTGTGTACTCACTGTAAACCTGGGGAAACGGCACAGTGAGGTAAATATGAACCAGGAGCATGCATGTACACCATGGGCATTTTAGCAACACCCTGTCCCAAAATAAAAAATATGAAAAGTTCTTGGGATATAGCTTAATGGGAAGGTCCTGGTTTCAATCCTCACTACTGCATTAAAAAAGGAGAAGAACAACAACTGTGGGCTACAAAAAAGCAACTAGGAATGAGCTGCCACACAGAGCAAAAACACAATCATTTGTAGGCTTGCGTCCCTCCAGGGCTGCCTGAAGATTTGAAGGGATTACAATATAATGACTAGTTAATACTTATTTTATTTCTACTAAGTCTTTCTTCTAAAAAAGCCTCTTAACCATTAAAGACATGTTGTAACATCATGAAAGATGAGCTTTGTCTACTGGCCATAAAATTTAAATGACTAACATTCCCAAGAGTTTCCATGAATAAGGCACTGTTTCAAAATAATGTGAACTTCTTAATATTAAGTAGTATTATGTCTTCTACTTCATAGATAAGGAAACTGAGGTTAAACCACTCACGCAAGGTATTATAGGGATTAGATAATAGAACTACTTGGGAGCTCAGCCCTTTCATGATATCTATTGATATGTTTGTTTGTTTTATTTACTTTCTGTTTTTGCAGTACTGAGGATTGAACTACCAGCACTCTGCCCCTAAGGCACATACCTGCCCCTTTTTA